CAAGCGACCATTTCACCATTTTGACAGTTTTGTTCCTTTAAATTATGCTTTAGGTCTCATTATCAATGTATTCCAATACAACACCAAAGCACTACAGTAATAAAATTTCCATTGTTATTTTTATGTGTCCCACACATGAATTTTTGCAATGTGATGAATATATGATATATATGTGTAAATCCATGTGTAAACACACATGCTATTGATTTGACTCATAAATTTCATGTGTACTTCTGAGTGGATTCTGTTTATGTGTGGACACATGAAAATCATGTGGAATTAGACATGGAAATTCGCCAATAAAAATGTGTCGAATTTTATGAGTGTAATCGAGTTTTGTCTAACGATCTTCAGGTGTTCTAAGATCTCCATGAAGTTCTCTTGAAATATTTTCAAGACATCAGGTTGATCAGGTATTATTCGCTAAAGATCTTCAACTATCCATCATTTCAAATCACATTTATTGGATGTTCTCTCACATACCTGGGTTCCTCAGAAATTATTCAGTAGACCATCAGATGATCAGAGATCCTTATTATAACTTTAGGTTTCTTTTTCAAGACTTCAGATCAATCAGGTATCAATCTGAAAATATTCAACTATCCAACAATCCAAATCATATCTCTCATATGATTCTGGCGGCTCAGAAATTATTCCAAAGTCCTTCATGTGTTTTAAGATTTCCATAAAGTCCTCTGGATACTTTATCAAGACTTCATCTCCTCGATATTCTCTCATGATACCAGGTGACTGAGTATATCAATTAATAAACGGATTCTTCAAACGATGTTTTTAAAAAGAAGGTACAATTGAGACTGAGCTTTATTAATCGATCCAAATTAATTGAAACCTACCAAGTGACCCTAAAAGTCCTAACGTTGCATTTCTCTACCCAGGTAGCGGGGCCATAGTCCGTGTCGTTGTCCTATGTCGTTGTTGTTGCCAAGTGCTGCGTCTGCAAGTCCGAGGTTCACTCGAGGCTAGTTGCTGTTGTTGTCAGGTGTCCACGATGGTTCGATGGTGCCGATGTTGAATATGCTTAAGCCGGCAATTTGTTTATGATGCTGATGAGCTGTTCCTTGGTCACCGGTGTTTGTGTTGTTGGAAAATGTAGGCTACCGCTGTTAACTTATATTCCAAAGACCTTCAGCTGATCAGTCTTCAGGTTGAACAAGTATTATTCTAAAGATCTTGAACTGTTCACCAACATCACGTCTCTTAGATATTCACTCACGATACCAGGTCGCTTAGAAGATGTTTCAAAGACCATCAAGTGATCAGTGACATGACATCCCTAAGATATTTTCTCATTTGATACCAAGCGACTCAGACATAATTTCATAACCCTTCATAGGATCAGAGATATTTTTTCAAGTCTTCAGGTTGTTTAGGTACTATTCTGAAGACATCTGGTTTAATCAGGTATTATTCTGAAGATCCCAAACTGTCCAACAATTAAGGTAATGGCTCTCAGATATTCTCTCAGGAAACCCGATGACTCCTATTTTTTCCAAAGATCTTCAGGTGATCAGAGACCTTCAAAAATATTTCTGGTGGATCAGTTATTCTAAAGATCCCTTACTGTCCAATAATAAATAATATAACTCTAGGCAATCAAAACAACTTCCGAATGAGAAATTTCTAGCTCAACTCTTAAACCAGCTTCTTCTTGTTCTTCGCATTTCAAGCTTATTGCATATCGCATATCAGCTTATTGCGTGCTCTCAACTTAGTGTTATAGATGCACTTCCACAGTTATTAATTAAGAGCTTTCGATGCCTTTACCACAGACAAACAGACATAACACATTGAATATTTCTCACTGTAAAACATCGTCACTAAAACATTACCGCCATCTGTTGAATACAGTGTGGTGGGTAGCACGCTGAACAGATGGCGGTAGTGTGTAAACGTCAAACACAAGGGAATTGAATATGCGCGCCACAGGTGGCGGTACTACCAACTACGATACTTTTAAATTGACCGTTAAATGCTTGTTCGATGAACAACTTGCGACTGTTATGTCTGTTTGTCTGTGCCTTTACCATTTTTGCATTGGTATAATTGTGTAGCAAGTCCAATAATACTTCTATGCCCAGGGAAGTCGAGAAATTTTCCAACCCGAAAAATTCCTAGACTGGACCGGAAATCGAACCCAGCCACCTCCACCACTCAACACAATAATCTTCTGTTTAAGCCATGCTATATTCACCTTTTCTCTACGATGGGACCGGCAGCATTGCGACCAGTGCGCAAAACAGTCAGCTTCAATGAATCATTTTCATATGAAAAGTTCACTGCCTCGTGAGAGTTTGAATGATTGAGAAGTAAACGAGTCACTGACAGCCGAGCACTCAGTCAGTACGTTTATTCTTCCGTGATGGTACCCAATCCTTGTTTCTTTCATTGCCTCGTCCTTTACCGTTTGGTACAAGCGGTCTGGACAGAGCCATGAATTAAATAATGCAGTGATTTCGATTCTTTGACTGCTTCCGTCGAAGAGTCCATCAATCGGCTGCTGCACGGTAACCGCAAAATACCCAATAATGAATACAAAGTAAGCATTTCCGAGGGAAACTGGGACTATTTACTCATTAAATGAGTAAAATGTTACCCATTTATGAGTAATTTAAACTACAAATATATGTGTAACATATTCATTTGTGAGTAACAAATACTCATAAATGGGTAATATTTTTACTAATATAATAAGTGGCCCCAGTCTCCCTCAAAAATGGTCACTTTGTAGTAAATATCGAGTCTTTTATAGTCATGTATTGTTGGGAAACTAAAAAATTTCAAGCAGTTTTCCATTGGCTTGCAAATTAAAATCGATCGACTCCGCAGTACCCAGCTGATTTATCATAGAATATACGTCGACTACTGTGACCGCTTACACCACATTGTGAAAAGTACCAAAGTACCATTCTCCTCCATTTTTTTACATGACAAGAAAGAAAAGGATAATATTGTTGGATTGTTGCATATATGTCAGGCGCACAATATGCTTCAATTTCACCACAGCTCAACGTGTACATTGAAAACGAAACTAACTCAAGGAGTGAGTCACTTTTACTCAGTTATGAGGAACTGTTACTCATTCGTATGGAGAAAATTCAAAAAGCTTATGTCACTCAAAACATAAGTAACCTGCGCTTTTAGAAATATCTTCATACGAATGAATAAAACGGGCTCACTTTCTGAGTACGATTCGTTTTCAGTGTAGCATAAATTCCCTGATACTAACTCTTTATTAAGAAACATTGTAAAAAATATAGTTCAGTTCCACAAAGCTTCCTCATTTGAGCCTTGAAATATAAGAGATTTTTTAAAAAAACGATAGACGCGATAGGAAAGTTTTGCCCACCGCTACTATTCGGCTGTTTTCTATACGGACCATGAGATCAACTCAGATGAATTCGAATAAATTTTGCAAAAAGTGGATTTGCTCACAAAGTGAGTAAAATTTTCCGAGTTTTTTCAGGAAAAACTTTTCTAATATAAGGAAAATCGAGAAAATGTTCGACATATTCAAGAAGTTTTTCCTGGAAAACTCCGAAAAATTTTACTTACTGAAAATTCACTTTTTGCAAAATTTAGTCGAATTCAACTAAATTTTGAATGATTTGTGTATTCAATCGATTTGCTATGATTAGTTTCAACCCTAGACTAATCGATTGCAAAAGTTCAGATCTATTGATTAGTTAACAGTCCAATAATAGCGCTGGCAAAATCTTACAGGAATCCCCCGACGAATGCGTTGGGTGGCACTGTTCACCTTCAACTTGAGCTGATTTTCTAGTTTATGGTGGACACGTACAGAAAATCAGCTCAATCGGTTGGAAAACTGCCAATAAAAAACGTTGGGTAGATAGTGTATAGTTACGTTGAAGGTGTAACCAGTGGTGGCACGAGTCCTGGAGTTTAACATTTTTTCCTTAACATTTGATACATTTTGCGATAACCATTGTGACGACACACAAAAACAAACTGGCAAGCGGCAAAAATGTCATGACATTTCTAAACTGTTTTCTGCCAGCGACAGAACATTTTCGCACAAAGAAGCAGACAAGACCAGCGGCGCGCGCGACATACATTTATGTCGTGTAGAATTTTGCTGATTTCTGGCTAATTACTGCATTTATTTGATGTTTATTGCATGGAATTAAAAGATAAGAATGAAGACTGACCACTCATAAGCATTGATGTTAAAATTATGCGTAAATAAGGGAGTTGGTAATTTACTGTCACACGCAAGCCTGCAGCTAAAATTTCATTCCAATAAACTGTTTGGAAAAATCAGGCTGCGAGATTTTATTTATTATCTATCTCCGCTGTTCGTTTGGAATGTAGTTATACACGGTCGCTCGTGTGCTGGCTGTTTTGTTTCGCTCTGGACGATGGTTTTTCAAAAAATGTACTGTTGCCACCTCTGGGTGTAACTACGTCAGTCAGAAGTAGTTTAGCTGTGAGTGAAGAATAAAAAAGACAAAATATTAAACTATTCGTCACAAGGCTTTCTCTGAATTGTATTCACCAACTCCCAGCATTTTTCTCTTAAACTCAATATTTCTAAACGTTGATCATTGCTTAAACATACAAACTCTTCTAATCGACACTTCCCACCTTGGCGGCTAAAATAATTCTCCATCCATCGTTCCATTCCATTGTATGACTTGATTTCCGTTCTCCATCTTTCTAAAATCTACACAAACTTTTCTGTTCCGTTCCTCCGTCGATTTGTAAGTGCACTTCTTGCTTCTATTTAGTCTGAATAACGTTTAACATTACTTTAAAATTACTCATATTATCACTTCCACATGTTTTATAGATTTTTTTTTGTTTTGAGTTACTGTTCGTTCAATTTTAGCTACACATTTCATCATAAGTATTGTTCCGCTTCCAAATGGAATGCTTTTCAATTTCCTGCTGGTTTCGCCGTTAAGTCATCATTACAAAAGTAAATGCTATTATTATTAGTTCACAGTACTTGTCATTGCTTTCTTAGGATGAAATCAGGGAAGATGAAGGATTTTATCATAAATAAGCATACATTCATATCGTTTTAGTAGTAGTGCATCATCCTTCCGGAAAGCAATGAAAAGTGTTCCATGTTCAAAACTGAATCCAAGTTTTATTCTGTTGATTGGTGGTAATTTTTATCATTAGACGCTTGGCGGTAGGCTCTTGCTATTATTTTTTTGGATCGATACGCACGTACGCAGGTAGACCACAAAACGACAGACTTATCTTCTGTGGCGACCCTGTCGGGCGTCGGTGACTGCTCCCCACAGTTCGATGATAAAGTCGTCGGTGAATCCGAATGCTTCCAGGTCGGACGCGTCAATTGCCTCGGCAAAGTCCATTGAGTTAGTTTTATTGCTACCTAGGTCCCAGATCTAAAATAAAGCAGGAAAAATCAACGACGATGCTAGAAGGATACTCAGACAGACATAATTTACTTGTGTCGCTAGTTCGGTGTCGTTGATTCCCATGAACGAATCTAGCAATGTGTTGATGGCATCTATTCCACGCTGTGTGACGTCGTCATGCTACAATGTAGGAATGGCAAATTTAATCAAGTTGTTTAGATATTTTCGAAGGATCTTCCGACAAACCTCGTCCTCGATGGCTGCATTGCCGTTGGCCTTAAACCTAAGCGTCTCCTTTCCACTGCCATAGCCTGGCTTCGACTGCTTGGCACCTCCCTTGCGTGGTGCGATACCCTGGAAGCCGCTCTTCATCGGTTCGATCAATCGAATCGTGAAGGTCGCTCCGGTGGGGATGTCCTTGAGCATGCGGGCTACTTCGTAGTGTCGCTTACCGACCACGTTGATGCCGTCCAGTTTCTCGATGTGATCGCCCACCTGGAAATTCCAAACTCAGTTTAATGTTGATACACCGACAGCGGAGGATCGAATCCTAACCTGTATGTGAGGAAGCCGGTCGATGACGCTGCCGCTTTTGATTCGCTTGATGAATGCATATCCGGCACCGTTGTCGGTGATGGTGAGTCCGAGGGCGTCTTCTGATTTCACAATTTCCACCTCCTTCGGTCGGCCTTTCTTGTGTGCGAAGATGAAATCGTTCAAACCGATCTGACCGCCCAGCAGGTTGCTCATGTCGACCTTGTGCGAGTTTAGCGTGCAGAATAGAATCTGAAAGGTTAGGCAATAGAAGGGGAGGATGTGAAATGTACGTTTAAAATTTGACAATAAAAGCAATTATTGCAATAATGGTCAAAGCATGTTGTACAAGAATTTACAAATTACTGCTTATAAGCGCATATCAGTTCCAATTTCGCTTGATTTTCTATTCATAAGAGACAGAGTTGTGCAATTATGAGGGATTCAGATTATACCAAATATATCATATTAACAATATGATCCATTAATGCCTTTAAGATGTAAAATCCATCTGTTTTGAACAGTAGTGTGATTCAATGTGCAATACACTTGAATTGATAGAGAAAGATTATCAACATTTCCAAGTTTGAAACACTAGAAATCAACGTGTCGAACACATTGAAACATGGTGAAATACTCTTAAAATAAATTTTTTTGTGCATATGAAAAATCAAGTGCTTAAACACTTCGATCAGACGAGTGGAATTTTTTGAGTGTAAGCAAATGAGTGGATCATATTGTTATGCCTTAAAATGTTCATTGCGGTATTAAGCCACCGTACGACGGCCTTCAACGAAATTTTGTAACAGCCCCATTTAAGGAGAATAGATGACTGCATCCTCGTAGATTTAGGATCTTCATGCGGAGGGCAAGTTCTGCAGCCATTTTTGGCAGTAGAACCAGATCCAACTGTAGATTGATTATATGATCATATAATTAATGTAGCTTGAAATGACGTTTTCTACCAGTCGAACTTTATCATGGAGCAATACTATGAGATTTATTCTACTGTAACTGTTTCGAATTGCGAGAGAAACGCGTCCCGATAGCTGGTTGTACGATTGTACGTCAAAGATTTTCTTCTTCTCTTCGAACACGGCCCATCATCTTTTGATTCCGTGATTAGTACGGAATTACATAATAAGATCAACATTTCCCAATTCAGAAGATAGTTTCGGGCTAAAACAAGGAGAAGGAAAATTTTAAGTTTCTTATTTTAGAAAAAAATAAGGAGAAGGGTCTGTGCCTAGGGGCACAAACGGAAGTTTGACGTAGGACCGCTAGTGGACGGAACAAATATCTTGATCTTTTAGTTCTTAACTCTTTCAATTCTGATTTGTTGGCCTTGAAAAGGGCCGGTTGTTTTGACGTAGGACTACGTCTGTGATTTCTATATGGGGGTTCACTTTATGAAAACCAAAAAATGGAACATGTAACGAAATTATGAAAGATTTTGAACATTAATAATTCAGCTGCCCCTGGACCAATTTTAATAATTTAACACCAATCGATCAGAAATATTTCTACGCATCAATAGAACTGCTTCCGACTTTTCAACAAGAAACTATTGAAATGTGGTAAATGTCAAGCATTTTCCAAAAGCGTCGAAATAACTAACAAATCCACCAATTGCGTACATGCATATGCTGCTTCCCCAACACAGTCATCAGAGAATCGTTTCTAGACGAAACATGTCGATGTAGCATTGCTGCTTCCCCAACACTGTCATCAGAGAGTTGTTAGTAGACGAAACAAGTCGAAGTGATATTCGCCTTCGACCTTCGGGCGTGTGCGAAAAGGGAGGATGCAATTGCGTAACATTTTACACACTCATCGTCATATTCAGAACTACACGCCCTTAATGACCACACAAAATACTCTCCAGAGTTGTAATTTTGTAATCTAACTTGAAAGCAGGGGTGCAAGTGATTTTGATCCATTCTCTCCATCGACTTCCTGTTTCGTTAATAACTCGAAGGCAAACACATTCATTGATATGTTTGTTGTTCTGGATGATAGAAGAGCATAGCAGAAATATTGCGAAATAGGTTAGTGAAGCCATGATCATCAAAAGAGGAAATCGATGAAGAGAATTGACTTTCACCCCTCTGCTTATAAGCCCCTTAATTCAGTCATCGTCATAGCAATGAAAACTTGCATCGCATCGCTTTTGATTCTTGGGTTACACTTTCTTGTTGCAATTCTACTGTTCGATATTTTCGAAGGACCACCAAAAAACATGAAATTTAACTATTTTCTAGGGATGCCTAAAACTCAAATTATTCGATTAACGATTAATCGTAAAGATTTTTCCAGCTATTCGATTAAATATTTATCGAATTTTCAATTATTTGAGCGCGTTACCGACATCCTATCTTATTTCTACTCGTTTGATTTTGCGCAGTAGAGAAGAACCATGACGTGAAACAAGATTATAAATTCGCCGAAAAAGTGCTAAGCGTCTTTCTGCTAAAGGCTCAGATTTACCAACTTGTTAAGAGAAGGAGTTTAACGAGAGCATCTAAAACGGAGAGGAGCTTTAGCTGGATGGATACTGATATTCTGCGGTCTTCCAACCTGTCGCAGACACCAGTTCAACCTCTGTCCAGCAGCAGACGGGCAGAGACTCTTGTGAGTGCCCAATCATTGAACCGAATAATATGGGATTGTCCGGTCCGATTTGCTGATCCAGCTGCCTACACGTCATCATCATCTTCCAAAGGCTTTAAGCCTATGCTACCATCGGCCCTTTTCAGGGCCACCAAGATTTTCCAAAAGAGTTGAATTTCTGAACATGTCCCAAATAAAGTTCATATCAAATGGTTATTTTCAGGGCATAGTCATACTAAAGAGTAAAATCAGAGAGAACCCCACTCAAATTCCTATTCCTATACACAAAAAAACAAGTTCCTGCTGCAGTTAACAAATATCATTTATTATTTAAGAACACGTAGTCCTACGCCATCATTGCGTACAACCCCATAGGGCTGTCCCTTGAAGTTTTTCAAATGGTGGGCACACCAGTGCAAGTCGATGCCGACCGGATGACAGCGGCCTAGTCTTGACTTCCTATTGCGGGAAGCCTTTCCTCCGGTTGATGTGGGTGCTTTCCGTCGTCTTTGTATTGGTGCGATGCGTTCTGTTCCACTCATACGTCGTGTCCGACGCTTATCCGTCCGTTGCTCGAATGTAAATGACGAAGAAAACGACTTGCAGGGCTGTTACAAAATTTTCTAAATATGATCCGCGAAATCCGCGATTTTTTAAAAGAAATCCGCGACTTCAAATACTAATCCGTGCCAAAAAATTATTTTCATTGCCTAAAAATAGCATTTGTATACTACTACATGGCATTTCAAGCTTATAGCATATTAGATTTTCGCCTGCTCTCAACTTAGTGTTCTTTGAAGTACTTTCACATTTTAATTGAGAGCTTTCTATGCCCGTACCATCCTATGCCCAAGAAAATAGAGAAATTTTCCAAACCGAAAAATTAAAAGACCGGACGTGAATCGAACTCAGTCGCCTCCAGCATGGACTTGCTTTGTAACTGCGCCTTTACCGACTGAGCTAAAAGAGTATCGTTTGTAACCTTTAATTTTTTTTTTAATTACATTGTATCATCTTCAGTTATTTATGTATAGTATAAATTCTGATTAATTAGTGAATATAATAAAACACCCTTACATTATGAGATTCTATTGAATAATACCGGCCTAGGTTTGAAACATTATTTAAAAAAAATGCATTTTCATTTGAAATGCAAATTTTCTTGACGTATTTTGCTGTCCTAAATGTTGTAGTTAATTTGGCTCTAGTTTTCTCAATGTTTTACCGATTCAAACTAAACACCCTGCACATAATCGAGAAATTACCAGAGGTTCATAAGTCACACTTGTTGGACACGTCGCGGTTGTGTATTTACACGGATATTCCTTGGGTTCTGTCCAATGGTGAGACATTTTCATTTTTTTTTCAATATGAACCTAGCACTTTTTGTTGTCAAATCATAACCGAATCGTATATATGTGACTTTGTGGATCATGTATGTATATTCCGAAAATTATAGGTTTTTCAAATCGTCCAGGACATCAGTTGATTTGCTCAAAGTGTCTATGTGGATCATGCATGATCTATTTCCGAGTAATCCAGATGTTCAAAGGTCTTCAAATCATCCTGGAGTTCAGATAATTTGATCTACTACACCAACCGAGACTGGGACAATGTCTTTAGTATCGAAATATTTCTAGATAGATGCACAGAGTCTATGTGGATCATGCATGAACTATTGCCATGTATACCATATGTTTTAAGTTCTCCAAATCGATCTGGAGTTCAGATGATTTATTCTACTAGATCAACCATGACTGGGATAAAGTCTGTAGTATCGAAATATGTCCAAACAGATTCATAGTGTCTATATGGATAATGTTTAATTATTTCCACGTATACCAGATGATCTAGGTTTTTCAAATCGTCCTGCAGTTCAGATGATTTGTTTTACTAGATCAACAAAGACTAGGATAATATCTGTAGTATCGAAATACCGATTTAGAAATCCTAGAACATTTGACATACACGGAAATAGGTTGGCATGATCCACATAGACACTGCAAATTTGTGTGGGCATATTTCGATACTACAGATATTGAATTAGTCTTGGGTGATCTAGTAGAAAAATAATCTGATCTCCAGAATGATTTCAGAACCTATAACATCTTGTATACGTAGCAATAGGTCGGGTACAATCCACATTGACACTTTGAATCTGTTTGGACATATTTCGATACTACAGACATTATTGGAGTCTTGGTTTATATAGTAGAACAAATCAACTGAACTCCAGGACGATTTGGAGAACCTAGAATATCCGGTATACATGGCATTTACTCGCATATATACGATTCGTTTATGATTTGACAACGAAAAATGCTATGTTCACATTGGAAAAAAAGGAAAATGACTTCATTGGACAGACCTCATTGAGATCATTTCTCGATTTTTCACACGGTGTTTGGTTTAAACCGGTAAAAAATTGAGAGCCAAATGAACAACAAAATTAATGACAGCAAAATAGTCCGGGACGGAAAGGTTACAATGCATTCCACAATTTTTATGACAGCACATCAGTCCCTTCGCGATTTTCGCGACATTATTTAATGTTTCCGCGATTTTCGCGACTGAAGATTCAAATCCGCGACAAATCCGCGAAAATCGCGAAATACGCGAAATTCGCGAAATCCGCGCCTGTT